CTGTCTCTAACAGGGGCCAGCACCAGATGCTTCAGAGGAAGGTGTAAGGACACTGCAAAAGGCAGATTAGGAACAATGTGCCCCAACTTTAGGTCTCATCCTGGTCTCCAATAGTTAGAGAATGGTTTAAGCCCTGAACCATGAGATTTAATATCCCTTCCAAAATTTGTTAGCATTAACTATTGTAACTCTGGATGTTCTTGTTATCCAGATAGGTGTCCAATCCCTCTTTAATCTTACTAAGTTCTTGGCCTCAATGACTTCCTGTGGCAATGAGTTCCATAGATTAATTACGCATTGCACAAAAAAGTATTTTGTTTTATCACTTTTGAAATGCCACTTTTCCATTCCATGGAATGGCCTTTGTTCTTGTTTTATGAACAACACACAAACCGGCAATCCCTGCTTTCCTTTTCTTGCACCAACCACACAACTACTTACCCCAGGCTTCTGGGCAATTGTATATTTCTTAGCCTGCCATTACTGAATGTACTCAGCAGCAGCTGAATATGCTGAACTTTTCCTTTTGCTTGTCTTGAAGTTTTAATCAGGTTCTTCAGTTCTGCATTCATTTCATTCAGAAATCTGCCACGTATCACTTCTCCTGTGACTTACAGAACAGGTATATTTTCTAAGTTTAGTTAATAATTGTCCTATTTAAAGATGTTTTGCACTGGCTGGAGATTCACACCGGGCATTTTTATACTGAAAAGGTCTTTCATGGGGTTATCCAGCCTCACGTCAGATGTCAATTACAAAAATGAAAGATTTTGCCATGAACAGCAAAGTTCACTTGATTGAGGAATTTACCTCCTAGGAATAAGAGCCTCATAAAACATAAGCACCAGGAGCAAAGTGAGCTACGTAAGGGATTTTGCAAAAATTAAACCCATAACTTGACACTAGCAATGGGATATTTCATCTGTTCAATAAGCATTAAAGTTATCTTAGTTTTTATGGCACCATAATCTTTGATTACTCTGATAAATATTTGGACTATGCAAGACATTGTGATAGAACTAATGGCAGCTATAAAAAGAAAACCTACTTGTGGACATGAGTAGGAACCACCCTCGGCCCCCCCGCATCGCTCTCCGGACATGACACCAGCACATTTTGCAAAAGTTCTGAGCCAGAGCCAAACTTCTCAGCTACCTCCTAGGCTTCATTCACTACTGCCTTGTGTGGTCACGCACACCTGTGGAAAGTGATTTTAAAATGCTACCGGTCTGATTTAACAATGGTTTTCAGTCACTTTGCACAAGTATTAATGACTGTACGAGATACAAGACATTTGAAAATCAGGGTCCCCTCTCTCCACAATGGATTAGATTGAGCATCACTGGATTTTAGGAAAAAGTCTAAATATGGTCTGAACATGGGAGGTCAGGCCTATCTTTGCCTGAATGTGCTTAACCCTATTTGTTGAATTCATGCTCACATAGACTCATAGACTTTAAGGTCAGAAGGGACCATTATGATCATCTAGTCTGACCTCCTGCATGATGCAGGCCACAAAAGCTGACCCACCCACTCTTGGAATAATTCTCTCCCTTGACTCAGCTGTTGAAGTCCCCAAATCATGATTTAAAGACTTCACGTCGCAGAGAATCCTCCAGCAAGCGACCCCTGCCCCATGCTGCGGAGGAAGGTGAAAAACCTCCAGGGCCTCTGCCAATCTACCCTGGAGGAAAATTCCTTCTCGACCCCAAATATGGCGATCAGCTGAACCCCGAGCATGCGAGCAAGATTCTCCAGCCAGACCCTCCGATAAAATCACCTACATCTGGCAAAAGGTGGTCTTTCCACGTGTGTTTTCCAATACAGCTGGTGTTTACTTGGCTTTTCATCAGTTGCCAAGACAAAAGAAAGAATATCTTTTCCAACCCAAACAAACCACACCTGCAAATCATGCACAAATACATCATTTGTGCTGATGTTTTGCAAAATTAGAGACCAGGATCCATTTGTAAATTTGACCCTTAATACTTTTTTGACAGGCAGCTTTTTTTTAAAAACAAACAACAAACAAACATACAGTTATGGGCTTGCTTGTGGCTTTTATGCCTCAAGCCCACGTAGGATGTGGTGCAGAGCTGCGCTACTCCAGGAAGAGCGCCAGAGAGAGTGAGTGTCTTAGATGGGTACTATCTCTCCGGCGCTGCACCTTGCACATAATGATGGAGCAATATGCTCCCTCCTCAGTATGCTGGCCTTGTTCTATGGCTTAGTATCGAGTGTTGGCAGGACCAAGCAGCTACCATCTCCTACCCCTTCTCATTATATTGCTCCCTAGTGGGTGTTGAGGTGGGCGAGAAAGAACCAGCAGTCCCTGTCTTTCCCAGAATGCAAGGACTGTCAGTGTGAATGGTTCTTTTGCAGCCACACAATGAAGGGGAATCTCATTGTGCAATCCTTCTGTTCCTATGCACATAGGCCATTTCTCACAATCTGGGCCTATATATGGCTCACATTTTAACTAGTTACGGCTGTGGGGAAATATACTCAGTGATGATCTGGATCCTACAGGTAGAATGTAGATAAACCTACTTCCCAGGGTTCATTCCCAGGAAAAATGTGTTGACTTCTTAACCTGCTAGATAACAACCAAGTGGGTATATTCAAAACCAAAACACTTAACCAAAAGATATTAAAACAATGTAACCCCTTCCTGTAATCACATCCTGTACAGACAAACCAAAAAGAGGAAAGTTTCAGAAGGAAAACTGAAATCTCATCTACAGATGCAAAGAGGTTATTATAATGGGCCTGACTTATGCCTGGTATAATGCCATTAACTTCCATGTAGTTGCATCAGAAATGAATCTGACCCAATGAGCTGCATATTAATACACATGGATATGATTTTTTAATGTCCTACAGAATAGTTCTAGCAAACATAATAACTACTTAGGGCTGAATTCAGGGTGCAGGGTAACTGACAACGCAAGTGCAGTCACTTCAGATGTCACCCAATGGAATCAAAAACAGGAATTTGCACTTAGCATTTGTACAGCTCTTTTGATCTTCAAAGAGCTTCACAACGTCAGCTAATTCTAAACTTCCCACAGTGACTTTTATGCCAACCTTTTGGGATAAAAGCAATATACTCAAATAAAAAAGAAACCAATATGATGTATACTATATAACTTAAGCAGCCCCAAAATGCCATATGTGCAAAACTCTGCTACTCAGTCCTTTATCTCAGCATAATGTCATATTTTACTTTACCCAGACTCTAAGCCCTTTGGTCGTGCTGAGGTGTTAAATCCACCTATACAATACCATGCATATATATGGTGTACTGTACAAATCTTACACAATCCTTAAATCATAGGTGAATTGTTATTATTATCTCCATTGTATAGATGAGGAAACTGATGTAAGAGATTTGTCCAAGATTAGAGGTGGGCAAATGTTTTTGGATAAATAGTTTATTTGTCAAAAAATGCAATTTTGGGTTGACAAAAACTATTTGTGAATTTTGGTTGCGTTCGTCAAATAGTTTTGGCCAAAAATCCTCCCCCAGATTTTTTTTTTTAATTCAGAGTATTTTGTTACAACATGCTCAAACTGAAACATTTTGACCTTTCATTTCAAAATTATGTTTTGGGTTTTTTTTGAAATTTTGCTCCATTTATTTAAACAAAACAAAACAAGCGAAAACACACTCAAAACCAAAACAAAAAATAGGTGGGGGAAGGGTTTGGATTGAATAAAATATTTTGTTTGACCTGAATGAATTGAGGGGAGAAAGGGAAATGGAAATGAAAACTTCCATTTCAGGTTGATATGAAATTAATTTTATTTCCAGATTTTTTTGGCTCAACCACTGAACTGAAAAATCAATTATTTTCTCAGCTCTGCCCAAGATCATTAGAGCGAGCCAAGGGCAGAGCCAGCATTAGAACTCGGAAGTCCTTGTCCCCCTAGTCACATCACCTTTCAAGCATTAGTTTTGACTCTTAACCCTCCAAAATTAAATTGTGCATTCGTAAGGTTTATTTTTCTTTTTAGAAAGGCTACTCGGAAGCATCAAAGGAGAGACAATCCATTGAAAGTTATCCCAAGCCATCAACTCCTGTTCTCTCTTTTTGACTTGCAGTTCTCCAGACTATCAATCTTAGATGTCTATAAACTCAGATTCTTGAATAAATTCCCTGTGTACGGTTGCTGACGTACTTTATGTGGGGGAATAGATTGAAGCAGACACTACTCATTTTCATAGTGACCCACAACAGCTATTGTTACAAGAACACCTTTAATCTCCTGTTTCTGTTTTTGAATTGAATTCAGGTGGGGAGAGATGAAGGAAAATGAGTCACAAATCTGTTACTACTGCCCATGCTTCTCAGTTTATAACAGGGGTCGGCAACGTTCGGCACGCGGCTTGCCAGGGTAAGCACCCTAGCGGGCCGGGCCAGTTTATTTACCTGCTGACACAGCAGGTTCAGCCGATCGCTGCCCCCACTCGCCGCAGTTCGCCGTCCCGAGCCAATGGGTGCGTCGGGAAGCGGCGCAGGCCGAGGGATGTGCTGGCCGCGGCTTCCCACCGCCCCCATTGGCCCGGGACGGCGAACTGTGGCCAGTGGGGGCCGCAATCGGCCGAACCTGCCGTGTCAGCAGGTAAATAAACTGGCCCGGCCTGCTAGGGTGCTTACCCTGGTGAGCCGCGTGCCGAACGTTGCCGACCCCTGGTTTATAATATCTCAGCTTTGATTTTCTTTGATTCTACTCAAAACTTTTCCTGTATTTGTAATCATCTGCTAATTTGACAACCTGGCATTTCCTACCCTTTTTCTGCCTATAGAATTTTTGTTCCCCATTCACATACTTTCTCAAAATATTCAGATGTCACACTGTGGACTTTTAGATCACCGTACAAATTAACTTCTTCTCCCTTGGGTAGGTTTTCTTATGAAGAAGAACAAAAGATTCACTTCCAAGAACCTAGATAAATAATGCTTCACTGTTACTACTTGGAGTTTAGGAAAACTTACAAAATAAACTGAAGAGTGAAAAGAGAAGGATTAGGATCATGCTGATATGAAGGGCATTGGCTGCACTGCAGTCCATTTTGGATTTCTTGCAGGAACACACTTGTACTTTCAGTTCGGTATTGTTAGTCAGAGGCGGTTTTCCGGAATCTGTCACCAAGATTGGGATGTTGTAATTGGCCTTCTTCAGGTTTTGAAGCAGGCTGACCTGGGCATGAGTGTCTGCAAAGAATAAGGAGGTAACGATTAGGCAGCCATGGGTGGCGGGGGGGGGGGGGGGGAGAATAAAAAGGCACCAATATGCCACACCACACATGCCACATGAAAATATAGGGGGAAATGAAAGCACTCTACATAACTAGGCTGGAAGGATTTGTTGGTAAACGTCCATTTCACAAACCCACAAAAAACAATTTCCATCAATAATAATAAAAATTCACAGATAGGCACAGTAAGAAAGTGCTTCTTGAGAATTTATGAGAGTTTACAACAGGGATTGGCAACCTTTGGCACGCGGCCTGCCAGGGTAAGCCCTCTGGTGGGTTGGGCCAGTTTGTTTACCTGCGCCGCATCGCTTCCCGCAGCCCTCAACCCCCATTGGCCTGGAGCGGCGAACCGCGGCCAGTGGGAGCTGCGATCGGCCGAACCTGCGGACGTGGCAGGTAAACAAACTGTCCCTGGCGGGCCGCGGGCCAAAGGTTGCTGATCCCTGGTTTAATCTAAGGATATTTACTTTGTACATTTTGACATGTGATGTGTTTTAACTATTATAAAAAGCTTTATTAAATTTTTTAATCTCAACATCTACTGTCATTAAATAACCATTGTCTGACCCACTCCCCTTAATTTTGTGCAACTGTGAAAATTTAAATTGATAAAAGTAAAAAAAAAAGTGCTTAAAATTAAACATATCAGTCAAAATTCTAAAAAAATAGAAATGGAATACTTCCATGCCTATATATAACTGATTACAAAATGGCATTCAATCAACAACTTGATCAAGGAATTCTTCCTCTTTGGCATGAGTGTATTTTCCCCCAGCTCCTTCTGCAATCCCATAAAAAAAAAAGGATTTTCAAGAGTTTATTTAGTTTAAAACTATGATTTGTCCAATTGAAGCCAGTCAACTGGCAAATTCCAATGGAAACATACCAATTAAGGGGTAGATTGTGGCTGACCCACAGTGAGAGGGGAAAGGGGAAGACAGATGCGGAGGTGTTGTAACTTATGAATACTCTATGTGACCTGGTTTGCGGCACAGTTACTGTAGGGCTATAACAACAAGGAGTACTTGTGGCACCTTAGAGACTAACAAATTTATTAGGGCACAAGCTTTTGTGGGCTAAAACCCACTTCATCGGATGCATGGAGTGGAAAATACAGTAGGAAGATATATATACATAGTACACGAAAAGATGGGAGTTGCCTTACCAATTCTAACGAGACAATTCAATTAAAGTGGGCTATTATCAACAGGAGGAAAAATCACTTTTGCAGTGGTAATCAGAGTGGCCTATTTCAAACAGTGGACAAGAAGGTGTGAGTAACAGTAGGGGGAAAATAGCATGGGGAAATTAGTTTTTAGTTTTTGTAATGACCCATTCACTCCCAGTCTTTATTCAGGCCTAATCTGATGGTGTCCAGTTTGCAAATTAATTCCAGTTTTGCAGTTTCTCGTTGGAGTCTGTTGAGTGTCCAGGGAGGTTGAAGTGTTCTCTGACTCGTTTTTGAATGTTATAATTCTTGATGTGTGATTTGTGTCTATTTATTCTTTTGCATAGCGACTGTCCATTTTGGCCAATGTACATGGCAGAGGGGCATTGCTGACACATGATGGCATATATCACATTGGTAGATGTGCAGGTGAATGTGCCCCTGATGGTGTGGCTGATGTGGTTAGGTCCTATGATGGTGTCCCTTGAATAGATATGTGGACAGAGTTGGCAACGGGGTTTGTTGCAGGGATAGGTTCCTGGGTTAGTATTTTTGTTGTGTTGTGTGTAATTGCTGATGAGAATTTGCTTCAGGTTGGGGGGCTGTCTGTAAGCGAGGACTCGCCTGTCTCCCAAGGTCTGTGAGAGTGAGGGGTTGTTAGTCTCTAAGGTGCCACAAGTACTCCTCGTTGTTTTTGCTGATACAGACTAACACGGCTACCACTCTGAAACCTGTATGGCTATATTGAATCATTGTGATGTTTCCTGTAAGCATATGTTGGTTTAGTTTAATAGTAAGGCTGTTAGGAAGCAAGCAGGAAGACCACACAATGACTCCAGATAAACAACCTTCTAGTAAACACATCAGCAGGCATGAAGAAACATTGACTGAACTATTAGTTGTGAAGATACTGCTTCCAGGCTTCAGCCAAGTTACAGGACTTGTTTTGCCAATGCTGGAAGCCAATAGTCCAAAAGGATTTTAAAAAGCAGTTGAGAGGTGGGGGCAGTTGTCAGGGAGCTGTTCCTGGAGAACAGACAGCCACAGACAACCCACTAGGAGATCTGAAGAAGCTAGGCCTTCTTCCAGGGGGGATGGTAAGCCTTGGGGAAGATAGACATACATTAGACCTCTTATTGTTTTAAAATCCTTTTTCTCTTATGTTACACTTTGTTCCAGCTATATTAACCACTGGCCACAGGCTCCCAAAGGGCAGAATCACAGGTATCCGAGCCCGTTGGTACCTGCTGGAGGTAAGACCGAGACTTGGTGTAAGAGTGGGAGAATCGCGGGATTCCACCCTTTGGAAAGATAAGGGCACAACGCCTAACACCTGCTGAGCTTCATTCAGACAGGGCAGAGAAGGGATCAGAGGAGCAGCTAGTCTGTAACCATGAAGGCCTACTAACTAAAATAATAGCACTTAAGCTCAGAAGAGCACACAGGGAGGTCCATGGGGGGATTCCCTCACCCTACTTAACTGATTCGTTAAAAAGGGGCTATGGGGAAGTAGAGAATAGGCAGGTCCATGGCTCTGTACATCCTAAGCAGTGGCCAACGGAGCTGCCCACTGGTATGCGGGGGAGTGTGCTGAAACCTCTTATGGTGTACTGAGTGCAAGGCAATTGGGCTCTGAATGCTCCCCACCAGGGTGGGAATGAGCAGGAGGGAAAAAGAATGGTCCCACACCACCCATCAAGTACGTTGTGCATTAAGAGTCACTGCAGTTTGTCATTCAGTTCAACTGGCTTTGGATCAGGACTTAAAGACATAATCTACACATAAGTGATCTGTTCTAATCATCCAAAGCACATAGGAGTACATGTGTGATAGTACGCCTATCATATTACTTTGCTCCTTGATCTCAGAGAGCACTTATAGGAAGACTGAAAGAATGAAGGCATAAGAAAAACAAATTAAAAGACTTACTGTTGATCTTGGTGATTTTCCACACTTTATCTGGGCCAGACTGTTTACTCAGTTCAAACTTGAATGGATCTGTGTTAGGGTGAAGGTCCTTATCTGATGCCCCCAAGACCACTACCCTGAGATCTTTTGCGTCATCACAGACTTTTGCCAACGTTGGATAAATGGCGGGGGCATTGTCATTGACGTCTTCCAGAGTTATCTGTAAGGTTCCCGTGCCGGTTGCAGGAGGGTTGCCTATGTGACAAATAAGCAAGTATTTATAAACTTGAGCTTTCATAATACACACTAATCTCTAACAGGCACACCTGAATGTTCACAAAAGGAGATCAGCATCATTGACATAGTTCCCACTGCTGACCATCGTAGGTTGACCTTTGCCATTTTTTTTTAAACTCAAGGGTTGCTTTCGCAAAGTTTTGATTTAGACACTATATTTTCCAAAATCCAGTAAGTATGATTCTCTACAGTAAGGAGAGTAAATCTAAGCAAACCTCTGTTCAGGACAATCCTGTGAGGTACAAAATGGGGTCAAAATATATTAGAGTCCAAGTCTAAGTCTAGGGAGCAACTTGCTGTACACAAACATACAATAAGAGATAGTCCCTGCCCCAAAGACTCTAAATAAACACAACAATCAAAGAGTGAGAGGAGAAGTGGAGTCACAGAAAAGTAATCTGCCCAAGGTCACACATTAGGTCAGTGGCCAAGATGGGAATAGCACCATGGTCTCCTGAAACCCTTGTCACTGGATGACTTTAGTTAATTTAGTGGAGATTAAATCTGCCAGATTGAGAGTTTGGGAGAATGAGCTCTTTTATTCATCCAGAGATGTATAGAATGAACAATGGCAGTTCAAACTTCCACAAATTATCTGCATGCGCCTTGACCTAGAGCAGGGGTCGGCAACGTTCGGCACGCAGCTTGCCAGGGTAAGCACCCTGGCGGGCCGGGCCACTTTATTTACCTGTTGACGCGGCAGGTTCGGCCGATCGCGGACCCCACTCGCTGTGGTTCGCCGTCCCGGGCCAATGGGGGCGGCGGGAAGCCGCGGCCAGCACATCCTTCGCCCGCGCCGCCCCCCGCCGCCCCCATTGGCCTAGGACAGCGAACTGCGGCCAGTGGGGGCCGTGATCGGCGGGACCTGCCGCGTCAGCAGGTAAATAAACTGGCCTGGCCTGCCAGGGTGCTTACCCTGGCGAGCCGCGTGCCAAACGTTGCCGACCCCTGCTCTATTCTGTGACTGATGTACACCTATGGTGATGGAAGTGTTTGCAATGTAGACATCTGCCCACAGGGATCAGGACTGAGCCCACTATCTCATTTTACAGAGGTCAATGAATAGCTGTCAGATGGTAATACGTTTCAGTCACTACTGATTGTGTGCCAAGGCTAAACTAGTGACTTACTGTCCTGGTTAAAAGTTCAGTATCTCCATACCAACCCCTTTGCCATCCCGTTCTCCATGATAGCTGGTCAGAAAGGTTTTTAAAAGTACATCTCTTCTTTCATAGGCTGTTATACCTAATAATAATTTCCCCATCTAAATGAAACAGTTCTTGAGATCCAGGTTTTTTATTCATATCAGAGATCTACCATCCCCTTAGTATAAAAAATCTGAGATTCCTAAGCTCCAGTCATCTCAGAACCCTCTGGATATAAAAAGGAAACAAGGGGGTATGTTTAGCCTCTGAACTGCTAGTGTGGTTCAGCAGGAAAAGTGGTACTCTAATGTATAATTAATCTGCATACAATAACTCAATCAACTTGGGAATCACTGATAGATTGTGACACTGCATTCTAAGGAAGAAAGTATTCACCCCATGGTCTGGATCTGACAGAATTGTAACTGTAACATAATGTGATTAGTCGTTATAATGACAAATGTTACTAATAATGACACTTCATCTGTTTCAGACACATAAATGCATAACAAAGGCAGAATTTTCATAGTTCCCTTAGGTTTTTTTTCCTCACTCTTTTGTCATGACGAGGGTTAGGGTTGAGTTCTTTTTAATGAAAAAGAAATTATTTTTCACTTTTTATTGGACTAATTGAATTTGCAGAAATATTCCAATACATTTTTTGTTCTTGATATATTATTAAGTAAAGTCATATGGCAGAATGGATGAAAAGAGATTTGAGTATTTGAAATATGATCATAAAAGTCAGGCTTTCATGCACTTAATTAAACTGCTGTCTTTAATTTTGAATGCATTATTTCCACACTGGACTGATAATGTCTTGTGCATTGCCCTGCTTATCTTCCTCTGAAGTCAGTAATATTAAAATCTTTCTTTTGAAATGAAGAACCCAACGGCATTATGACTATACTGTTAATTGTTGAATGCAGATATGGCTACATTTGCTCTGCTTAGCTAGTTCTTCACTATCTTCCTGTGGCTTATGGACGAGTCAACAATACACACACAAAGAGAAAAAGAAAATTGCTTCTGTCCATTTCAGTGATTTATTCTCAGACTGTTTTACTTATAACTACTGCGACAAAATGTTTTGCTGATTTATAAAGACTTTCGAAAGAAGAATAGGCAAATGTCAAGGTCATAAATTGAAGCTTGTTAACAAGCGTGCCATAAAAATGCAACAAAAAGTGAGTCAAAGTAAAATGGCTACAACAGATCCATCGGGAATAAACAGCTTTTATAAATTTGACACTATTATGCCTTGGAAATAAGAACCATTCAAAACCCCATGATCTTTATTTGGCAATGAGTTTGAACTAAAAGTCTCTCACGAGCATATTTTAATTCTAAAATAAGCTTTCCCTCAATCTGTATTGTAAAATTTTGTAGCTAGAGGAAGAATTAATGCATAATTCAGATTATAAAGGGCCAGTCCTACAAACCCTGGGGCAAGATTTGAAAAGAAACTCAGCTTCCATTTAGGCACGTAAGTGAAGTAGCCTGTCCCACTGGGTGCTGAAAGCTTTGAACCTTTAGGTGTTTGATTGGGAGCTGTTGGCTACGGAGATTTTTTGACAATCCTGTTCTGAATTACACAAGCTATATAACCGGACGTAATGGCACTATTCCATAAGTAATGGCTACTAGTGTGTGTAAGAGTTTGCGGATCGGGCTACAAAAGTTAGTTTAATTGTATATGAAAGTGAAGAGACTAGCTATCAGACAGGGACATTACTAATTAAGGCCAAATCCTGAAGCCCTCATGAGTAATCTTCAATGAGACTAAAGATTATCCAAATTGAGTAAGGTTCATGTGACTGGACCCATCATCAGTAATAATATAAAAGTTCAGGAGAATATCAGATCATGCAGCAATGGGAAGTGTATGATGTACATTAGAAGCAGTAATGTCTTCATATCCTAACATTAGTTTACATCAGAAGGTTCTGACAGCTAGTTGTCACTTAAGCAATAGCTACTGCTGTTGTTGTGAGATGCGCCAGTCAGAAAATGGAATAGGTTGAGTAGTTATGCATCATACCTTGAGGAGATAGATAATATAATGTGTGACTAGGTCCCTGCCTGAGAGCTAGAGCCTACAATGAAAGGGGCTATTACTATAAGCAAATAGTGTAAAAAGGTATTCTGAAAGAAAATAAGTGATTTGAAAACGAACGATCAGGGAATATGTTTTTTGGACCTATTTTTGCTATATATTGGTACTGTATTCTAATTTAATACCATGCAGTATCATATTAGTGCTTCTAGTCTAAAGCTGATTTTAAAAAAAGTTATATTTAGCTACAGAAATCTTTTAAAGTAAAACTCAGCAAATAAGAGTTTAGGTTTTAAACATGTAGGCATGATTTTGGAATCTGGCTTCCAATTTTAAAGCCAGTCAAGTAGTTGGATACCTACCAGACATCAGGTATGCCTGATACAAAATCATGGACATAGAATGGGAAGATATTTTTAATATCAGGTCATATATAAAATGGCACATTCACCTCCAGCCACTATCTTCAGATTGCTGGATGGCTGACCAATGTATTAATAAGAATGCAGAGTATTTTTTTTAAAGTTATTTTAGGGAAAACCTGGTCTCTGATTGGCTGAAGTACACAATAGCTCAGCTCACAAAACCACTGTGATGGCAGCAGGGAATAAATAACGATATTGTCAGCAACCGTCACTCCACTGTGCCAACATCCATCAAAAATAGTAAATCTACATAAATCATTTTCTCTAATTGGAATGATGTTATTGTAATGCACCATTGTCACATGATCAGGGTCTCCAGCTTGGAAGACAAATGTTTTGGCTTGGCTTTGGTATTTATGTAGCAGCAGGGGGATCATTATCCCATGATGAGACACTATTCTTTTTATGGAATCATTTAAAGGGATACTGACAGAACAGAAATCTTATCATAAAATAAAATCCCTTTACTGTCAATAAACCAAAAGGATTTTAAAATTCCAATGTATTTTTTCACACTTCTGCCTTTATTTTACTTTTTGCTCTTTGTTGATTTGTCGTTTAGCCAGCAAGACAGTTTCAGTTTCTTGTTGTTTGCGCTCTCTGGTTCTCATGCAGACATGCAATGCTGTTGCGTCTGGGCTTCCAACATGGCAGGCTATGCTCAGATCAGTGAGAGCAGATGTTTGTTTGAAATTTCATAAAAATTAATAAAAACATTTCTATTCCGATTTGGATTCTGTTATCCTCGCACTTATTTACTTTAAAAAACAACAACAACAACAACAACAAAGCCTAAGTCTGGGACCTAAGCACAGTATATGGGAATTTCAAAAGTGCCTAAGACAGTTAGAAGCCCATCTCCCACTTAAAGTCAATGAGAGTTAAGTACCTAATTACCTAAGGAACTATAGCCCAGACCCTCGAAGATATTTAGACGTCTTTGAGGATCTATGACCCCAATGTCTGTATGAGAGCTCGGGCTGATTTATGGTTCTACATACTAAGTGTAATGGCTGCCATTATCAGCAGGTTACATAAGCATGTGTAATTCTGTTTCTTATCATTTCAACTTCAAACCCTGTGACATTGACTGAGTTCATTTTGAATTCTGGGGTTTGTTTCAAGCAGAGACTAAAAGGAACCCCAAGGAACATACTACTGTGTGTCTGTGCTAAGCCTGTAGTTTTTAGGTCTCTGAAAGTGTTTGCACCAATGGCTGGAGGTGGACCAACCCCTACAGGTATGACTGAACCTATAAAGACTTGATTGCATGAAGACTTTCCCATTAAAATTTTCCACTATTGCTAGCACTAGGTGAGGTCCACTTGTAGC